CGGCCGGTCGGGACGCGACCGCGAGCCCCGAGCCGCCGAGCGCATCGATTTTTAAACAGCCACTAAAATCATAGGCGCGCGCGATATGCCTCGGAGCTGCAGCACTGCGTTTGCCCGTGGCGCGATTGTCGAGCACTAATCGGGCAGAGATGCGAGACGCTCTCTAACGAGGCTGAATAATGCACAATGGCCATCGAGTGCGGGCAAGCATATGTCGGCCGCGCGGAAGGGATCGCTGTATGCTTGCCGCCCCCCGCGAGCCGAGCCCCTCTTCCCGCGCTCGGCTGCGACTCCGTCTATCTCTCGCGCGCCCGGCGCGGAGGGTTCTCCTGCGCGCACTCGACGTCGAATTATGCAAGTTTCATTCGTTGGAGCAGCCATTATTCCGCGCGCGCGGTCCGCTCTGCCCAATTACGCCGTGGCCCCCGGTGCGCCTCGGCCTTTCGCCTCGACTTCTCTCGCGGGCCGCTGCATCGTCATCGATCGGCCGGAAGCGAGCTTATCAATCGCCGGCGTATACGCGCGCCGCCGCTGGAAGCAGCCGTCGCAATATTGCCCCGTCATTGCGAGCAGCCGATAACCCAATAAAGCCGTAGCGGAGGTACGAGTCCGCGCGTCAAAGCCACGCTAATGATCCGCCTGACTCGTCGTCCCAACCGGAGAGCGGCCTGCTGCTTTCACGATCTCCGTGCGCAACTGCTCATCAATCTCGCTGCCTCGCGCCTCATCGCCGCTTTATTCCGCTCTCAAACTTATAATCGGCTGGTCGATGTGTAAATGAGCCCGCGTTTTCAGCGAGGCTACATTCTTCTCTCGCTCGTCTCAATCGCAGCGCTGGCGTGCCTATTGGAGGCCAACGAGCGCCGTTCGATTGCATATTGATTCTCTAATCCGAGCGCCACGGTCAGTTTGCGGCTTTGCTGCTCGCCGCTGACCCATTGGCGCGCGCGGGCAGATGCAATGGCACGCACAGTAGCGAGCGAGCGCTCGACGGCAAATCGATTCGTTTCGGCAAATTAATTTCCAAACAGACTCTAGCGCTGCTCGCAATCGCAGCGGCGAATCCGAGTAAAGCTACGGTCGGTCGAAAAGAAAGAGGATATCGAAGCCGTGTATCGCTCGACGCGCTGGGGCGAAGACCTTCGCGATCGAAGGCTCATTGAGTAGCCAACGAATGCTGGTGCTGGTGCTGCTGCTGCGGCGTTCAAACCTGAGCGCCAGCAATTACATTAGTTCGCGTCAAAATGACTCGGCTTACACGCCCGACTGGCTCAACTCTGATGAAAAAGCCACTTCTCTCTCTTCGCCGCTTTTTATCAACTCGTACGTGCCATTTCCCTCGCGCGTGCGCGCCAAACACCGCTCTTCTCTAATTTTCCCCTTCTAATTTCATTTGCGATAGGAAGCCCTCGCCTTTTCACAGTCCACTCTCCAAAAATTAGGTTCACCTTATAGCTGCACTATTTCCCTTTTCTACTCGATTGCTTTATCTTTAACAAAAATGTGAATTGGCACAGCATTCAGTTAAACAGCAATTGTATCGAAGCAAAACTCACTTTAGCCGCTTTGACGAGTCTACGTTAGATAACGCGTCTGCTCGCAGCACGCACGCGAGTAGGCATATACGAAATAACTATTAAGCCTGGCCGTGTCTGACACGCTATACGAATAAGTTGGACAATCAGAGCTCCCCGGAAGTGTTTCATCGTCTTTACAGTCTCCACGCGTGATCAACAGTCTAGATTATCACCTTTCAATCACGAACAATTTATCGTTCAGTTCGTGCAACTTCGAGAAAATTATTTGGAAAACGAGATTTTTTCATTCTCGTTTTTTCGGACAATTTTTCGTCACGGGCTTTATCTCAAGATAAGTATTATACGTATTTTACATACAATACCACGTATAACGGAGTAACGCACTGTACATAACTTACATATTAATTATATACTTTGTTTGGTTTGTAAAAATGGTCTGAATTACTTAAAATGTTAGTACGATCTGAATACTGAAAATGTCGGTACATGTAATAAAATAGCAGTCGTACGTCGATGTCAGTAATGTAGGTGTACGATTAACTTGCAAATACGCGTGTTTTTAGACGCAGACTCGATCATCTGTTCGTATTAAAGATCTGTAAATTTGTAAATATAGATATCATTTAAAAATTTATGAGACGATCATCATTGCCCGTAAGACTTTCCAAAAAATATGACTTACATGCGAGTCGGCTGCTGCTAATGCCTAGAGCCTAGAGACTATTTGAAAATCAATGTTGTAGTTGCAGCTAAGTAAAAGTAGTAATTTAACAATTTTTATTACAATTATAAAACGGTAATTGGAAAGGTGATCTGACAACGAGCCAAAATTGCCGCTTTGTAATTATAATAAAAATTATTAAATTACTGGTTCTAAGTACTAGCGGTAGCCTACTTGCGTGTAAGTTTTACTGTTTGAGAAAAGTGTGGTGGATAGGCTGGAAGGCGGAGATTCAAGTTTAATATCAATTACGGTCTCACTTATGAGATTAAAGTTGAAATCTTAGAAAGTGGAAAATATATTCTGACGGACGGAATAAATTATCTGGAAAACGTTCATTTAAAAATGCATTTATCGAGTATAAAGACACATTTAAAGTGGATTCAAATATCTTCTTGAGCTTTACCGTAATTTACTTTTATGTATTTTCTTTCCAAGCTCCTTATTAGCTTTCTCAAGCGAATTTATAGGAGCGAATCTCTGCTCGCTCGATCCAAAAAGCGATACAACTAAGTAGTTTATGCAAGCAGTGAAATCTATAACCTTCTAACGGAAAACATTTAAATTACGCTCAGTTTAGTTGTTAATTTTAGATTCAAATGGAATTGTTACTTTGTCATTATTAATTATGTAATATACGTTACATGAAACATAAGACCATATAAATAAATTAGCAGTATGTATTAAGAGAAAATTTATCATAAAATTAATTAAAAACAAAAAACTTGACAACGGTTGCATCATATTTTTTGTTCAAACGCTTTTTATTAAAAGTTACGCCAATTATACCAATAAAACTATTTTCCTTTCCGTCAACAAAAAAAATCAACAGACTCTCTACTTCAAGTCTACACTGATGAAATAAATGAGTAAAGCTCATAGCTCTGATATTAAGTTTGTCATCATTCATTTTTGTAAAAAGACGTAAAAAAAGCTATGAAAAAAGTGACTATAATTTTATATTTTATAGAAAAATAACAGTACAGTAAAGTGCTATTGTCCATACAACGATTTGTTAACTAAATTAACATCAAGGTGATCGATTTCAAAACCAGTCGAATCCCAAAAATTTAATATTGAGTTAATCCGAAAAAAAAAACAAAATGAATATCATCTTCTAAACGCTTGCGTAACTTTTTCCGTATTCTAACCTCCAAACAGCACCTTCGGCACTTGTTTCCGGCTTCATGTGGAAAAATATTGCCCCAAAATGATGCGAAAAGGCTTTTTAAGAGAAACTCGTTACAGCTCTCGTATCCAGTTCGTACCGTAGCCTTTATGTTCATTTCTCTGGAATTCATTGTTCAAGTTTGATGTTTTGTTAGAAGAAAACTTTAAGGGCTTCATCACACAACGTATATTAATACATGTTTCTATCAGTTTCACAAATATAATAGAAAGACGTCATAATACAAAGGATTCATTATAACATTTGGACGAAAAAAGTTGTCAACGTTTCAATCGAAATCACATTTTTGGACTTGGGAGTATTTGAAAGCCAGCAACTTAAATAATGTTTAAGTAATAAGATATAATAAGGGTGAAAACTAGATTATATCCTCAATCAAAAACTGGACATATTTATAATTTACGGCATTGGAGTGGTTAGGTAATTCGTAATAAAAGAAGACAGTTGGACGATAATAACAATTTAATTACTTGGCATAGTCACATTATAGGAACCGTTGCCTCACATCCGCCAGTTTTTGCACTTATTAATCGCGATTGCATTACAGTCTGCAGCCACGCGTCATTAAGCCGACTGACGCATCGTTTGCTATATCCACGGTTGCGCAGTAGCCGTTTGCCATGACGAATTGCCAGTTTCACTGAATTTTTTTTTAATATTCGTAATACCATATGCCAAGGCAATAAACTAGGTTTGTAATGGTAGAAACGTGAAAACGCAAGGTCGTCAGGCCGGTTTCGGCAAAGCGTCCGCATAGTTCCGGGGGAACACGTAGGCAGCGATTGCGCGGATGCATCGTAAACGGCAGCGGTGTGGGAACAGCAGATAGGAAATTGACAAAGTGATATGTGCGGCGAGTCGCGGCAGTTTGATTTTGGAAACGGAGCAGTCGATGAGATGCGGTTGGAAGCGGGGCGCGCTGCGGCGAAGAAAAACCAATCGCGCGACGAGCATCGTCGCCGTGGAACGCTTGCGGAGAGCAAAGCGCAGCAGCCTCGCGACAATTTATGGGCCATCGGCTTAAGCATATACATTGGAAAAGAGAGAGGGGGAGAAGCGGACGAGCCCGGTCATTCAAGAAATCATGAGCGGGAACGAACAAGCAAGTAAAAGGCTGCCCCGAGCGTGTGCCTCGGAAAATATTAATTTGGATTGAGTGCCGGGTAGCGAGCCCGGCTGGCGAAGACGGACCACCTCCCGGCGAATTAGCGCATCGGCGAAAACGCCGGAACGCGTCTGCTGGCGCAAGCCCCTAGGGGCGGCCGGAGAACGGCCAGGGTGGCGCGGGTAGCAAGGGCGCGAGGGGGAGGGGAGCGAGCCGAGCGAAGGGCGGGGTCCCAGCTCGCCGGACAAAAGGGCCCCGCGACTCGAGGGGTGGAGTCTCGGGCGTATATAGGCCAAGGGCTGCCGAGGGTCCAAAGCACAAGTCGCGGAGACGCCGAGGCAGCCGCAGCAGTAGTTCGCTCGTCGTGCCTCGCCCCAGTGCTTCCAGTGCTTCGCCGCGCGTCGCCCGGTGCCCTCGTTCGGGCGCTTCGGACTCATGTGCCTCGAGATGTCGCGCAGCTTCCTCGTCGACTCGCTCATCGGCAACAGCTCGCCGCCGAGCTACCCGCTGCCCTACTACGCCGCGGCCGGCGGCCAGCTGCCCAACTACATGTTCAACTTCTTCAACCTCGGCATCAACGCCTACCAGCAGCAGCAGCAGCAGCAGCAGCAGCAGCAGCAGCAGCAGCAGCAGCAGCTGGCCAGACCGCTGCCGAGGCAGGCCCCAGCCAGGTTGCCGCTGCCGCCGCCCGGGCCCGGACCGGCCTCGCCCCCACGCAGCGTCACCCAGCTCACAGGTTGGTATACTCGGGTGCCCGGCTTGCCGGTCGCGCGCTAGCTCCGCCACTAAACTGCCGCGTTCGCATTGCAGATACGTCGGTGCGCGGGCCCGAGTCGCCGACGCAGCACAGCGGCTCGCCGACGCCGCCGCCGCGCTCGCCCCATGACTCCGCGCTGGTGGGCCTCGGCGCCAGCTCCAAGCGCATCCGCACGGCCTTCACCAGCACCCAGCTGCTCGAGCTCGAGCGCGAGTTCGCGGCCAACATGTACTTGTCGCGGCTGCGTCGCATCGAGATCGCCCAGAACCTGCAGCTGTCCGAGAAGCAGGTCAAGATCTGGTTCCAGAACCGCAGGGTCAAGCACAAGAAGGAGGACAGCCCCGCCGGCGGCGCGGCGGCCAGCAAGTGCTGCTGCCTGCGGACCTGCGGCAAGAAGAGCAAGGCCTGCGCCGAGTCCAAGCCCGAGGACGAGCGGGACAGCGACCAGGACAGCCGGCCCGAGGCGCGCCAGGTCTGCGCCGACCAAGCGCACGACCTGTCCGCGGCGGCCTGCCTCAAGCGCAAGCCCGACGACGACTGGCGCCGGCAAACGAGCGAGCTCGACGACAAGTCCGCCAGGCCGGCGCCCCTCACCGCCATCAGGAGGCTCACCTGCACCAAGTACACCGTCGAGCACATCGTCAACTCCTGAGCGCCTCCTGTCGCCGATCGTCGCTTTGTAAATACCCCAGTGATTCTGCTCTTGCGCCCACCTAGAGCATAGTTTCACGCTCTCTTGCGCCAACGTCCATTGTAAATATTGTACATTTTTTATTTTTATACCAACAGATATTTATATATACGTATATAGAGATATATTGACAATAAAAATCAAAATTATTGCTACGTTTACATTAATGTACGTTCACTCGACGATTCCTCAAACTTACCTATCCATTCGTCTGATTGTTCAGTTTCTTCAACTAAAAAATGATTACCTTGAAATAATTGCTTCATTTTCTAATGTTAATTGAATATTTAATACGGATTATCTAAATAATCTCACCATTAAGAAGCAAATAATAGAAACAAGCTCTTAAATTGAAGTCTGATTTTTAATAATTATGCAGCAAAAAAAGAACATGATTTATGTCAACTAAGGACCTGCAAAAATGATTTAAAAAATGACAGATCTTATCATACAAGTCCATAAATATTCAATAAAAAATAAATTAATGTTTCAAATCATAATTAAGAATGAATAAAATAAAATACGAAAATTATAAAATTTTCTCCATGCTTAATATAAGACTTTCATCGTAGTGAATTATTTCACACTTATTTAAAAAAATTCAACATAAATACAACATAATAGAAAAATAAATAGAGACTTTGAAACTTTTAAAGTACTTAAAACTTTAGAAAATCCTGTCATACTACGTTTGCATTAAAAATTAAGTCTCAAAGACTGCTTTGTGATTTACAAAAGATGAACAGAAAAAAGAGAAAGTATATTAAAAAAGAGGTTTGAATAACGTGTATAACTGTTTCAAAATACTATATGAAGCTATTTTAATAAGTCACTATTGATATGATTTATCAAGACATATATAGACGGATGATGATGAAACGAATGCGATAAATTTTATCTGCGATTGGGAAGCTTGTAACTAAAAACATTATATCAGAGTAACAATCATAAGTCACCTTTGTCGCAATAGAGCAATTGAATCGCTAACGAGGAAATGTGTTGATTTAATTTGAAGAAACAAAGCAGAAAACAATTACATCGTTACGTAATAATTTTCAATAGAAGGCATCCTTTTCACGAGGAGCTGACGGCGATCGTCCACGATGAACGATCTTCGAGGCCCATTAATCGTCAGCGAGCATGTACGGACGGACGTAGATTTGAAATCTTGTTCACAGCAGATAAATCGTTCTCGCAAGTGAATTAGCCTCGTGAAAGTCAGTCGACTCGGTTTTCCGCTCTTACTCGCGCTCGCCACGTTTTCCGAAGTACATTCGGCGCAGCTGGCAGGCATTCAGACTCGAGCAGCAATCGCGCACAACAGAGTTCTCTTTCACTCTCTCTCTCTCTCTCGTTTTCAATTAATAAGGCGCGCGCAGCTAATTGCTATTTTAATTACAGCTATACCGTTACGCAGAAACTGATCTTAAATGAAAAAGGTTTGTTTTGAAAGTGAGCAAGCAGCAAATTTGACTAAGAAGTTGGAAAAGTTCTCCGGCAATAGAATAATTGCGAAGCACACGTGCTAAGTTAATAAGATAATTGACGGAAATTGACAAGTGGATCTAGGTGATGAATCAATAAAGATATACCTGAATTGATTGACGATAAATAGGCCTCGTCACTTGGGCGAACAAGATAAGAATAGTTCTGAGATGTGCAGCCCACTCAAAGTAGAGTAAAGTTGTACCTGTAGCGAATAAACATCCGAGCTATCCCGTTGCTCGGCTTTCTGTGAATTCTCGGAAGAATCTGCGCCGAGGAGGAAATAGCATTTGTAGGTGCGACGCAGTCGAAGAAAACCGAAACTCGGACGCGGCCAGCTTAGGAAAATGGTAGTAAACGCTGGAATCGCATTGCATTATTGAGCCGAGAATCGATCGCGAATGAAGCTCGAGGATCGAGCATTATCAAAGGCATCTCCTGTCGGTTTTCAAAAAATTAGCCGCGTACGAGGTAAATATTTAGACGAGCGGGAGGCGGCGATCGCCGGCGATCGGGGAGTGCTGTGTATAGTCGCAGGGGCCCGCGGGGCACAGGCGTGAAAGAGCGGAGTCGAGCGAGGGACTTGCCTTGAATCAGATCGCGAGCCAGAGGGGCAGAGGGGCAGAGGGGCGCGGGGGCTTTTACACGGGCGAGAGGCTCTCGAGGAAGGATCCCGAGAAAATGCGCAGAGTCGGAATCGGTGAATGAGCGGCCTAGACAGCGTGTCGCGGTCTAGGCCGCCCCACCAAGGCGTCGCGAGTGGAGAGCCGGGCGCGAAACGCCCACTTTCCCGCGGGAATCACAACTAAAAAGTGCTCGGCTGCTAAACGTCGTTTAAACGGGGCCCAATAATATCAAAAGGGCCGAGAGCGAGCGCGCGCTTCGCCGAACTGGCCTCAATGCCAGACAACCAGTCGCCTCGTTCTCGCGCTGGTGACAATGATCTGCCGCCACCCGCTGGTCCGGCGCAGAGCCCCGCCGCACAAGTGTCGTGCTATTAGCGACCTTTTACCTTCAATTTGAGCAGAGAGTGGGGACCCTCTTGACAAATTTTCCTGGATTTATGGCTCGGCCCCGTAGCTACCTTTTTCGAGGTTCTTTCAGCCTCGCGCTCATTCATTCGCCGACTCCGCTCGCGCCGCAGCTTCTCCTCTGCGCTCGTACAGCTTCCTTCGGTTTTTCTCAATGAAACTCCGCTGCCGCTCGCCAGCATCGCGTTTCCTCCGCATTTTCCAATCTTCCTTGCACACCAGCTTCGCCTTATTCTCCACCCATTGTCCGTCCCCGGCTCACTTCCACCTAAGCTACGCTCTCGGCACAATGCGCTGCAACTATTTATACTTCAAGTCAAATTCTCAAGCACTCTTTGTTCGCGGCTTGCGCAGTCAACTTTTTCCACGTTCGCTCTTTCGTTGATTCAACGCCCGGCGCAGCATCGCCAAAACTACTACCGGGAACGCACTCTCTGCTCCTGCAGCAGCCAACTATTTGAATTTACGTCAACAATCACGTTTCATCGTCCCAAATCACTTTCTTTCTCTTCTTTCGACTGGCTACGCTCGCGTGAAAAAGCTTGCCGTCCATTCAAACTTGTTAGCCCCGTTCGAGTCGTATATTTTTTATTGCCTACCTATACGCGCCTCTATCTACCTTTTACAGTCCACCTAACAAAAAAAAAGTGCACACCCTATTGGATTGGATAGCGCTGGAAACATGCAAATACAAATTAAAGATCCAATCGCTCTATAACACAATGTTCAGCGCGTATCACGGACGGACTTCGCAAATAAACGTCTCGCAGCTCGCCCGGCGCGTTGTTACGTTATTTCCGAATTTCGCCAAAAACACGAACTGTCGTTTGACCTCTCCCGTGCATTATCGATGCGCGACAGCCAAATAATTTCCTCGCTATTAGACTTTCGTATCAGACCTGTCAGTCAACGTTTCGATGAAAGATAGAAAGTTGGCTGATAATCATTTGGAATATTTTTTAATTAACGAACAATCTTCGAGCGGCAAGTGTAGTTGTAGCTCGGATACTCACCATGGTAGATAACCGTCCACCTGCGTAACCCAATTATCAACTATTAGATTTCTGTAAAAGTGGGGGCTATTTTATAAAATCGAATGTTAGTTGCAGCGTCGTTCAGTTCATCTCTTACGTTCCACACGTCTATGGTAAGTTCGTAATGACGAGTAAAAACTTGCAGTATTAAGGTATGCACAAAACAATTTTCATCCTGTATTTCAGAGATAAAACGATGCGCGCCATTGTATTCGTCGGCCTTCTGGCTTTAGCGGCGGCAGCCGAAAAGGTCTCGTTTGACAACTACAGAGTTTATCGGGTTATCCCTGCGTCAGCCGAGCATCTGAATATTCTGAAGAAACTGGAGAGTGCAAACGACGAGGTGCGTATGAAAGCTTGACATTGTTATTCAAGGCAAGCGAATGATTAACGGTAACGAGCGAGTCTAACTGTCATGAACACGTTGTTTTTCAGTATTCCTACTGGAAAGGACCTTCGCAAGTATTTCGTCCAGTGGACCTTATGGTATCACCGGGTCAACAAGCTAACTTCACCGCGTTGATGGATGCCGCGGACATGAGATATACGACCTACATCGAGAACGTGCAGAGTCTCATTGACCGAGAGGAGTCGGAAAATCGCGCCTCTACTGGTGCTTTCAATTGGACACGTTACCACGACTTGAACGAAATTTACGATTGGCTCCATGCCGTCGCTGAGGCTTATCCCGACACGGTATATCCCTCGTAACTTACCGCTTATTCAAGATCCATGTTACAAAGAGCCGTTGGACAGTATTGCTCCTATCACGCAGATGTCCACCCAACGAGCGGACAGACAGCCAGCATTTCAATCTTTTATCTTTCACTGTTTTTAATTATTTCTCCTTATCGCGATTATCGATTGTCTATTTTCCAATGAGTCCTACTATACGAGGAAAATGATAAGACAACGCAGTAAGAGTGTATAGCAATGAGGCCGATGAAACGAAAGGTACGTTACTTGGCCGTAGGTGAAAGTGGTGGACGCCGGGGGCAGTAGCGAGGGACGCCTGATCAAGGGCGTGAAGCTGAACTTCGGCGCGAGCAAGAAACCCGGGGTGTTCATCGAAGGTGGCATTCACGCGCGAGAGTGGATCTCGCCGGCCACCGTCACTTACCTCGTCAATGCCCTCCTGACCAGCCGCCAGCCAGAGGTGCGCGAGCTCGCCGAGGCTTACGACTGGTACATATTCCCCGTCTTCAATCCGGACGGCTACGTTTACACGCGCACGACCGTGAGTATTGCTCGGATGCCCAATGCGAGTCTTTGCATAAATTTCACGGATTTCACTTGACTGTGCGCTACTGCAGAATCGATTCTGGCGTAAAACGAGGGTAATGAGGAACTTTAGTTCTTGCCATGGCGTCGACGCCAACCGCAATTGGGGCTACAAATGGATGCGTGAGTTATTGCATTACACTTAAGAACGATTTCACGAAAAACTCCTTAATTTTGCTCTTTGAAATGTTAAAATTACCTAAAAACGTTGATAACGGTAAATAAACAAAAAGAAACGCCAACTTTTATGGGCCTTTTATAGCCAAGGTGACGTCAATCTAAGTATAAATTTGAATTCATGTAAACCATTTGCTGATCAAAGCATCGGCCCTTGAAAAAGAACTTTTAAAATACAGAAACGTCACATAAACGCGTCAGTTTGCTCTCATCGGTTTTCAGCTTTCGCGCACTGCTATTGTGCTGAAAGCAGCTCGGTGAGGATCGAAATTTCGTTAAAAAAATGGAGCATAATATATTTTTCACTGTGCCAAACTCAAATCGGAAGTCAAAGTATTGCCACAATTTTTCTTTTTTTTTATAAACTTTAAAAACTGAGAGCGGGCACTGAGTACGAACATTGGAAAAAACTTGTTAGCCTTGAGGCATATTTTTCGTGGAATAACAACGAGATATAGTTAGAAAAATACGTTCTTTTGCCTGTTTGCGTGCGTTAGAGGGCGGCGCGAGCGATAACCCTTGCGACGAGACTTACGCCGGACCAAACGCTTTCTCCGAGATCGAGACCGAGTTGATGGCCGAGTACATCAGCTCCATTGGCCACAAGCTTTTTGCCTACATCGCTTTCCACAGCTACTCGCAGCTGCTACTCTTCCCATATGGAAACACCCCCGAACACCTCGACAACTACGAAGAAGAAGTAAGCTTTATTCGCGTCTCCTGCAACGACTGTCGTAAATAATGCGTGCAATTGCAGAAAACGATGGGCCTGGCAGCGATCGACGCGCTGAGCAAGCGATACGGAACCTCGTACACGACTGGCAATATACCCGAGATATTGTGTGAGTGCACGCGGTCAGCATGGCTGCGTAGGTAAAAAGTCGTAGGTAGGCCAATAACAGCCATTATTTCCGACAATCGACAGACATTGCCACCGGATGCTCCATGGACTGGGTTAAGGACACTTTCCGATTGCCGGTCACCTACACCTACGAGCTTCGGGACCAAGGTGCCAGCGGTTTCCTGTTGCCGGCGGAACAAATCATACCCAACGGCGAGGAAGTCGTGGACTCTCTGGTAGCGCTCTTCAAGACGGCCGCCACGCTCGGCTATCCGTCCAAGGCTCGACCCTAATCCGAAATCCAGCGGTTCGCCGTGCGCTCCCGCGCCACATCCGAGTGCCCGACGGTCGTTGCGTTTGTTTGCGAATAGCGGCCGCAGGTATGCTCGCGAACGGCGACAGTCAACGGCCGCGGCTCGAGCACGCACGCATGAGAGAGTTGGCGAGTGGCCGGTCAGCTCGGCGGTGTCGCGCGCCCTCTCTCCCTCCCTCTCTCACGGGTGCCCGACAATGCCTGCGAATCAAGAGCCAGGGCGGCGAGACTCGCGCTTTCCGAGCGATTAGGCTGCGAAGGGCCGCTCGCGATCCGCGCCAGCTCGAGCGGAAAACCCGAGGACAATGATTTATGTACAAATAACAGACAGGTTTGCGGGCCGCTCGATGGGCCTCCAGTAAATCGGATCGCATCGAGTGGGCACGATTAATTAAGCGAATCAGCTGCGTGCGTGCGCGCGCGCGCGCGCGAGTCACTCGACAGCCAGCTTCGCGGACAATGGATCGCGCTCTGGAGTATCGGATTGTCGCGCGGCGAGGAGAGCGGAGAAGAGAGCGCGTGATCGAGTGACACGGAAATAAAGTGGTCCCGTCGGACCGAGCGCCGAGCCCCGTGCTCCAAGGCAGGTTTCGCACGGCGCGATCGTCGTGCAATAATGGCTGGGCGCGCGAGTGGCTTCTCGATCAAAACTGGAAAGAGCCGCGCTGACACTCGAGAGCGCCGCTGCAGCCTCGCGCCAGCGCGCACACTGCGCGCACTAGCTGCTCGGCCCGCCAATCACCCTTCGATCGCTTCCCCTGTTATACGTCTCGTACTCCAGCTCCGACCTTCGAGCTCTGCCCTGCCGTAACTTACGTCCTTTACATTCTACTTCGCATTTACGGACAGTTATCTTCGTACTAGCGCGCTCTGCTACGACGAACGCAAACGCATCTTTCAACTTCATCATCCGATTATTACCCGCAATCCTGTATCGTATATCAATTCCAATCCTGGCATCTTACTTTCTGCCCACAGACCGTTTCAGAGTCTTCTTACAATCAGCTCGTAAGCTCGAGTACGAGAGGGAAATGTGTGATCAACTTTGTACGTTTCATTCATATTAATGTTGTAACGGTTTTACGCGATAATTCTTAGCATAGATATAGCCGCTTTCTTTTATTTAATAGTTTAAAATAAAAACGCAATCAAAATATTAATCCTAGATATTCTAACAACCACATGCACGTTACTCCATTCTAAACTCACAAATTATTTGTCTCTGTTGACTATATGTAATTCAAAACACATCGTAGATCAATAATAATTATTCACTTAATTTGCGTCAAAAGTGAAAAGCCCCAAAATGTTAATTTATTAACAATGTTTTTACAAATCACTTATGTTTGCGTTTAAGATTACGGACGACCAAATCTGCTCGAATAAAACGTTAGCATGTGCGAATAGCGAGCGTGTCGACGAGTGACCCTCTGGCAAAGTAAAGTCAAATATATACAATTGAAGAAAACTGGCACAAAAGGACTTATCAGCAGCTTACGTTATATTGCGTTCGCGCTACTCTCGGGAAGGAATAAAGTAATAGTGAGACGCAGTTCGAGAAAATGCATTACCCAGGGCTGAGAGGCAACTTGACTCTGCTCAGGGATAACTTTCAAGTTGTAGCGCTTCGTATTATTCAATCGTGTTATTTGTTTTATTTCAGCCCTGTAGCAATTTTTTCTCAAACGATTACTATTGAGAATCAAAAATCAGACTTGCCATTAATCAAAAGTCGTTCAAGAAATTTATACGATCGTCGGGGACTTGAAAAAGTTGAAGCGAATATCAATGTGCAACACGGCGAAGGTCATAGCGTGAAAATAAAAAAAAGGCAAAGATGAGGGGGATTGCGTAGAGAAGAAATTAAAGAAGTTGAATAGATACAGGGAGTGAAAGAAACGTGGCTATCGAACGACGACGAGGACGCACGAGTGTGAGTGTGGCATTGCAGTTGCCGTTGTGGCAACAATGATGCGACAGGATTGGGACGGAGTGTCAGCCGCGAGCTACGGCGCGGCATGGGAAGACTCGAGAGAGCCGGATGATTTTCCGGAAAGCCGCACGACACAATAAAAGCCTTTGTGGCGCGCGCGGCACGTGAAATCGGATTTTCGACTGGCGACGGTTCGTCTCTCTCTCTCCTTCTGCCAGTGACAATGTCGAGCCGTCACACTTACGAAGGTACTTCGGTATCGCTTTTATGCCTATTTGTCAGTCGGCTGCAGACCCTTGTGCGCACGAGGACGTGTTAACGCGGCTGTTTACAAATGCCAATGGCTATGCGATGCTTATTATTTTGATATATTACCGATGCTGCTCGGCTTCACGAGGCCGAATTGGCTTTTCCGTTTTATTTGGCTGAAAGCACATTTTCCCTTTCGCTGCTCGCCTCTCTGTGTCTGTCGAGCATCCGCCTTGACGCACCGTTCGCCAATCTCGGACGCGCGGTGTTGCGCAAAGAGCGCAGCTCCAGCCTGAAAAGCGTGCATCTTGTTCTCTCTCTCTCTCTCGCCGAGCAGGTTTTCCCGGAGTCACGCGTCGGCTCGGGGCGCATCGCGCGCGCGGGCGTAGGGCGTTTTCGGCCGAATCGCGGTGTATCGCCCGAGGCGGCCGCTAAAAACTCACGGATTTCCACGAGTCATTACTCGACCATTACTTTTGCAGAGAGCCGGAGAGGGGAGAGCAGGTGCGCCCGTTATTAGACTGTCTAAGGCGAGCGACTCGAGGACACCTGTACGGCTAATCATCGAGCAAAAGAGAGAGAGAGAGAGAGAGAGAGTGCCGCCTCCGAGCCCTTGGTCATTACCAATTTCCAGCCCAAACAGAAACGCGGCCGTGCATCGATTCTTTGGGCTCGCAACTGATTTTCACCGCCTCTTTGTTTTTTGTACCTGTGTGAACAGGCCGTTTAGCCAGCTATTCCCGCCGGGTCTTTTGGCAGTCTCACGCCTGTGCCCCCGGCAATTTCGCTAGCTCCTTTCCGATTTCTTCGATTGCGAATCGAGATGCCAGAAATGGGCCGAGAACGGGAGTCGAGGCAGGCTGTCGCGATCGCGAGCGAGCGAGCGAGCAGTGCGCGCCAAGCTGCAGCTCTCATTCAGGAAATTGGATGGGGGCCGCGCGGCTCCTAGCCGCTGCGCTACGAATAACTGAAAAGCCGATAGAGCGTGACGTATTCGAGGATGGATCGTTGCCGAGCGCGCGCTCTCACCTACGCGTGCGCCCGTGAAAAATTGTGCGGCCTACAATAATTAACTAACCCAATATCCCTCGTCTCGCCACGCTCCCCTCTCATCGCAGCTCTCTCTCTCTCTCTTTATGCACTTTGTTTGTTTTCTACTTTGCCCCTGTTTCTCGTTCGCAAAGTGCCTCGACTCTTTTCCTCGCTGTTTACGCTCGTCCACGGCCAAACAAGTATATTTTCACGTTATCCTTCGTGGGCTCGCTTCATTTCTGATTGACAATAAAAATGAAAGCAGCAGCGCCATTGCAAAATCCGATCGAACAAGTTTCGTCCGAATGATTGCAAGATCAACGGAAGCAATGTATGTCGCGGCAATATTGATCAACGCCAGTCTGTTGATGCAGCATACGTGTCGTGGCGAAAGGACAAAGAAAAAAAAAACAGTGCAAAACAATGAGTTTGCTGATTGAGCGCGCTCCAATTTTCGAGCGAGCAACGATCGCGTCGAGCACGCCTATACCTCCCGTTCTTTGCACACCTGTGTTTGCTCTTTACCCACTTTCTTCATGCGGCAAACTATGAACTTATTCAGTAACCGCTATCTAAGCCTGCCAATTGTACTCTTTATATCCTATGGCTTTCATGAAATTTCCAAAATATTGCTTATAATCCCACATCCGCGTTACACAGCTCGCTTACTTACGATACTTTCACTTTTCCAATATGTTTAGAAAATCATTGTTTTCGCCGGATCGAAGCAACTTTCATTGTAAATTTGCAACTTCGTTTATATTCCGCTTTTTTCTGCTACTATTATAATTTTATTACTTTTGCAATAAACATTCAATGAAGTTCAAAGTAGTTCTTAATGTTATTTTCAATTAGTCCGCAATCTAAAACAAAATTTACAATTTCATTGTACAGAAAACTTCAGATATTTTTATTAGGTGATTCAAACTTTCTCGTAGATGAAGATTCGTTACGATGAATAAAAGATTATATTAAAATCATTATAAAAATATCTTTCAAAATGCTAAGAATCAGAATACATAATTTCACAAACTCGTAGTACTGCAATTTTCCTTTTATTTAAAAAAAATAATTCACAACTGCTTTTAATAAAATATTTATATAATTTCACTCAATTTTTCTTATATAATTAGTAAAATGCTCTGTGAATTCAGAATTATTAGGTGCATAATAGTAATAAGAAAAAATACTGATAATGGATCTTTTTATGTATCATAATAACTGGAAAAATTTTAGTCAAACAGACCTAAAACTTATTATAAATATTTTTTCTTACAAACTATACATCGAGTTCATTGTACAAATCATTTTATTTTTTAGTCCTCAAGTTATTATAAATATACTATAGGATTATAACGCGAACATTCAGAACTTTTGACTGAATTAAATTTTTTGATCGTATAACATACCATTTCAAATCCTATAGCAGCAGCTTCGAAATAGGCTCTCATATGGTTCATTTCATAGTACATAGCCTAAGTCACTGCACATTTTATCAAACTATTTTGATTCCACACATTGAAATGGAATATGTGACAATGATAAAGATCATAAACTATTGAATCCTTAACTTATAAAAACATGATGAAAAAATATTTAAAAAATGAGATAAAAAGAAAATTTTTCTATTATTATATGATGTCGTTATTTTTATAAAAATTTAATTAATTAAAATTATAATATAAATAAGAGAAACCTATTATCAATGAATTAGCAATGTTTTTATCTAATAAAAAATTAACATTCATTCTTGATACTTTCAATAA